CCTGCCGCCGGTGGGACAGCCGCGGCGCTTCTGGGCTGTCCGCTGCCCGCGTGCTCCCCGGCTTTGCTCCCCGTCTCCCTGGTCTGGGGAGACGGGGAGCAAAGCCGCGGAGCACACGGGCAGCGGACAGCCCAGACGCGCCGCGGCTGTCCCGCTGCCGGCGTCCTCAGAGGCTTTGCTTCCCGTCTCCCTGGTCTGCTGGTCTCCAGCAGACCAGGGAGACAGGCAGCAAACCCCGTTCGTAACTACGGATCTGACATAAGTCGGATCCGCGTAACTCGGGGACTGCCTTTATATACATAGCCTAAAACTGGAGAAAGTTCACTGATATATTGTATATGACAATAGCATAGGTTAATGTAATTAAAACTGTTCCATGTGCAAGAGAGCAGAATTAAGGGTGTATGTGCAGCCCCGGCTTTATTATTTCTTGCCGCCAAAGAACTGAACTCTGGAACCTAGCCATTTTCCTAACAATTATTTTGGTACAGAATGTATACTATAATTCTAAATGAAACTAAGAAACTATTGTAATTTATAACTTCTATAGAGGAATAACCTGCCAAAAAGGTGTGTCAGCCATGCAGTACTAGGAAATCAGTGGCATTTTCAGCTGAAGACAATTTTATAGCTCTTAAAATGTATATTTATGGTCCAGCAGTAATGTAAAAATCTTGACTGGGAGACTTCAACCTCAACAGAAAATAAATCACAGTTAACTAAGTGAGAATTACCACACAAATCCCCTGAACCTGAAATATTTACTTTCCCCCTCCTAACCTTTCTTTTAAGTCATCCAAGCAACGCTGGAGATGGACTTCTCCTGCTGTAACTAATACATGCTCTCCTGTCTCCTGAATTAAAATTTGGACACATGGATCAGCTTGGTTTAAAAGCTTCATTCCTCTGACCAACTGAGGCATCTCACCTAGGAAGACAGAAATAAAATACTGTTAATAAACTATTATTGATGAAAAAATAGTTGTATTAGAACATATTTTTGGGTGAAAGCGAAAAATTTAGAGAATACTTTTTACCATAGCACCAACGCACTAGACATGTAATTATGATTAGAGGGGGATTAGATTTTTTTTGTAAATCAGTAAGTGCTGATAACAGTTGATTTCACTGTACGCATTCAAACCAATTAAAATATTTATTTGATTATCAAAATTTACAAATGGACAAAGAAAGAAAAATGGTGCTTAAGAGCTTAGAGTTTAAGGATATTTACTTTGTATATGTTGACAGTTTGTGTTTTGATTTTTATAAAGCTTTAATTTTTCCCAATCTCAACATTTACAGTCACTATAGTCTGACCCATGTGTAATTTCCCTTGCTGTGAAAATTTAAATAAAAATTAAAAAAATACTTAAGCACCCAAAATATGTTGAAATTAAAAAAAAAAAATGATTTCTACCAAGTCAAGTTTAGCAACACTTCAATACCTTGAGTTCAGTCCTTACTTATCCGTGTCTATGAACCTAATAAAAACTGATTAAGAACCTCAGCGTCGGGTCCCTTATTTGTACTGTCAACAGAATGTATGCTGAATAGAATCTTTTAATTAGTTAAAATGAAATAGTAACCACCACATGTTTAAATTACTTTTAGTAAATCATTTTTGTTCCTATTGTACATACACTCAAAAAATGATTTGCAAAGCTGTATCCTGTATAATGATCTAAAAAGTATGCAGAGTTAAATAAAAATAACATTATTACTAATATCCAAACAGAAATATTTCAAAAGTCCTACTGAAAGGGAATAAAACTGAATGAAGCACAGAACAGATTTAAGCACACAAACTTAAAATACTGAGAGCTATCAAATTAGTGGTAATCCAAAAAAAGAAACTCCCCAAACTCTGAGGTTTTCTTTATTTTGTATGAAATACATAAAATATTTTTAAAGAGGAAGGACATTTTAAAAAACAGAACTGTGTTAAAATTAATGGAAAATTAGGGAGTAACTCCCCAGATGAGTGAGACATGGCAGATAGCCAGGTACATGATGCAGTTGTGTGAAGATTTTTTTTAAAATCAGTATTTCATATACATGAGTAGATTTTCATAATGTAATACAATTTGAAAACTTTAATTGGTTTTCTCACTTGACACACAAGGCAGAAAATACATACTGACTTTCTAGGATCAAATGTTCATATTCCAAAGAAGACTTTGACACACTGTTTGTTGTTTGCTCTCAAAGGCTATTAAAAGAAATATGATTTCACTCATTTGTGCTAAGCTCATAAAGGTATAAGACAACATGGGAAGCTGGATATACTGCAAAAATGAGAAAAAATTTAGGGGGAGTTTCTTCAGGCCATATGCTTTACGATTGCAGGTTATTGTTCAGCTGTTGTCTTCTGCAGTTGAATCCTCAATAGGTCATCTTGTTTTGAGAGCCGATGGAAATGTCACTTGATTTTGACACAATGTGAAAGGCATGCACACAGTACAAACATTTACAGGGGCTTATCAATAATTATATTTATTAACATTTTTCTCCAAATTAAAAACAGATACTGTTTCAGAGCAGATTAAAAGGAAACATCTTTCTAAAAACATTTGAATGGTAACTGTTAGACTGCGTTATTGAAATTGATTCGAATGTCTTCCTTCCAAAACCACTTTGCTTAATGCTTTCAATTAAGTCAGAGCTTTAAACAAGATAAAAGTCTTAATGTGTTGGTAAATCTAAAGTCTCAATCCAGAACATTCCAAAATTGCTCAAACAATTGCAGGGTGTATGAGATCCAGCTATCCATTACCTGAAACACTAGAACAATCAATGGTACACTGCCTAGTATATTCAGCTGCGATCCTCGCAGTATCTTTCTGAGGATATGTCTACACTACCAGGTTTTATGAAGGAAAATAATGTTGACACGCAGAAATTGCCAAAGAAAACGTCACCAATGCATGTGTACATTTCAGCTACGTCTAGACTACAGCACTTTTCCAGGATACCGGAGGTATCCCGGAAAAGCAATGCCACGTCCAGGGAAAATTTTTTGGAAATGTGGACGCGTTCTTTTGCCATCCCCGTAAGCCTCGTTTCATGAGGAAGAAGGGATGGCTCGAAATAGCAGATTTTTCTAAAATTTGGCACCATATAGATGCACCACATTTTGGAAAAGCCTCTTCTGAAAGAAAAGCAGAAAAAGATACACAAATTGCAGTTCACAATGTCCGTATCTTTTTCTGACTTTTCTTTGTAGTCTAGACATAGCCTTGATCCCTCTGTCGATAAGACTGTCCACATCTCTAGTTCCCCCATTCACAAAGGAAGTAATGAATTATGGGTATGTATCCCACAGTGCCTGATGATGCTATCTGTCACTAGGTACTGTGGGAGCATGGAACAGAGCACAGAGAATCTTGAGACCATGCAAAACATCCCCTCAGTCACCACTTCATTCAGGGCCTTCCAACATGCATTTGTGCCTTTTTCCAACTGTCATTCTCTACTGTGCAATACAGTATCTGCAGTGAGAAATAAAGGATCCCACACTTCTCTTGCATCACACATGGCAGAGGAGATCATCTGAAATTACTGACAAAGGAAGATGACTTGGAGGAGCCTGATATGGATAGAGGCAATGTGTCATTGCATTTGGCAGTCTCAGAGTAGTTGTACAGGGTAGACTGGCACTTATGGACTAGGGAAACCAGCACTGATTGGTGGGATCACATAGTCATGCAGGTGTGGGATAAAGACCAGTGTTGCACTTTAGGATGTGTAAAGCTACTTTCCTGGAGTTGTGCGCTGAGCTGGCCCCCAACCTGCGGCAGTTGAAAAGCATGTGGCAATTGCTCTGTGGAAGCTGGTGACTCCCAAGTGCTAGTGGTCAGTTGCAAATCAGTTTGGAGAGGGGAAGTCTATCATTGGCGCTGTACTACTGCAAGTGTGCAGTGCAATAAACTGCATTCTGTAATGGAAGACTGAGAGTCTGCAAAATCCATGGGATTTTCCTAATGTGGGGGGACAACAGATGGCACACATTCTGAATTTAGGGCCAACCCACCCTGCCACCAAGTACGTCAATAGGAAAGGAAACTTCTCCATGGTGATGCAGACAATTGTGGATCACTGTGGGTGTTTCACAGACATCAACATGGGTTGATCTGGAAAAGTACATGATGCACACATCTTTAGGAACACTGGCCTGTACAGAAAGCTGCAGGTAGAAACTTTCTTTCCAGACTTCAAGATTACAGTGAGGGAATGTGGAAATGCCCATTGTGATACTGGGACATTCAGCTTACCCTTGCAGCCCTGGCTCATGAAACCATGCATGGGACATTTGGACAGCAGCAAGGAGTGTTTTGACCACAGGATAAGCAGGTGCCACACGGTGGTCGAATGTATTTTGCGAGATAGAAGTCAACATGGAGGGATGTGTATGGCAGGCTAGATCTCACTGAAGACAATATTCCCATGGTTATTGTGGCTTGTTGCACTTTGCATATTTTGTATGATAGTAAGGGGGAATTGTTTGCTCAGGGTAGAGCACAGAGGCACAGTGCTTTGCTGCAAAGTTTGAGCGCCCAGACACGATAGCTATCAGAGGAGTTCAAAAGGGTACTGATAACATCAGGGAGGCTTTGATGGCACACTATGAAAATGAGGGGCGCTGAAATTAATTTCTGTTACAACTGCTTCCAGGCTGTACCTCCCTTCCCACCAACCCCCCCATGTAACACAAGGCTGGGAACATGCCTTTAATGCCTGCACCTGGGATCACAGTGACTGGTCTGTGACATTGTTAAACAGTAAATCAAAGCACAGCACCATTATAAAAGTATGCCTTTATTCATCAGAAAACAGTGCAGAATCAGTGACAAAATGCTTCCAGGTGTCCATGTTTCTTGACAATACAGGGAGCAGAAAAGAAAATAGCCCTTAGTGGAGCTGGAAGCTTTTTATCAATGAAAATAGACTTTTTTGAGACAAGCTGCATTGCAGCATGAACATGCTCATGCAGTTTTGTCAACAAAAGGCATTTTTCCTTGACAAAACTTGCCAGGGAGGACAAAGCCTAGAGGTAGGGCGTGGCCCCTGGGGAGCCATTTGGCCCACAGTTGAGAACCACTGCTTTAGACTTATTTCTTTGTGTGGAATTCTTTAATCTCATTTTTGAAAATATCTGTAAAATAAATGCTAGCAATTCATGACTGAATCCAAATGAGAGACACAAGTGGGTGAAGTGATATCTTTTATTGGACCAACTTCCACTGGTGAGAGAAAGAAGCTTTCAAGCCACACAAAGCTCTTCTTCAAGTCTGGGAAAGGTACCAAATATGGTATGCTTCAGAGAGGATTTATCAAAGTCAACACTGTTAGTCTATGAACTGGGGACCAAATGGGAAGCACATTAATCTCAGAATATTATGCAGAAGGGAACTGTATTTACTAGTGTAACTTCTGGAGTATCTGAAGCTGTATATCTGAATCACAATGATGAATACTAATGAGAATACTGAGGGAAGACAGAAAAAAGCCTTTCAAGCAAACAATTGTTTTGTTTCCTTTGTAGTAACATATTTAATACATTTGTGATTCAATGACTGTCTTTTTTAATCTTTCTGTCACAGCACTTCTCTGCAAAACTTTTCTCCACTGCCATAAGAAATATGTCTCGCCCCACATTAATAAAATAAACAAACAAATCCATACAAATACTTCACAAGTTATGAAGTTCTCCAGCTACCATTAATTTCGGTTGGTGAATGACACTACAGACACGCAGTACATTTGTCTGGTTCTGTACATTATATTTTCAATATGTAAACATAGGATGAAATAAGGATGTGAAGTATCGGGTAACTGACTAATCGAATCATCGATGCATTTTGCATTGACAATTTGATTAGGCGATAGGGCGCCTCCGCCTTCCTGTTGCTACATTTCAAAGGTGAAAGTGGCAAAGCCCGGGGTGAGCTGGGGACTCTCATGCTGACCCCGGGCTCTGGGCTGCGCTGCCGCTTTGAAGTACCCTCCTCTTCTCCCCTCACCTCAGATAGTGGCAGCAAGGAAGGGAGAGGGAAGTGACTAGTCCTTCAAATCCCTAGAAAGAAACTCATTAATCATTAGGATTCTAGCTAGATTTTAATTCTTTAGG